CTTCTTGTTACTACTAGTAAGGCACTTGTTACTAGAAGCGATGCACTTGTTCAGAAAAGCCTCTTTTCACTGTGATATGCTCTGAGGGCAACCGGACGCAACCGCTGCAAAAGCGCACGGGAGAGGAGTGCTCAACGAACTGAGTGATTAGGTGAACCTGGAGTTCGGAAAAGTCAACACACTGCTTGAACATCGCAGCAGCATGCGATTGGCCATCCTATCAGCCACTTCATTCCTAGGGATTTCGGGTTCATGTAGCAACCTTCAACAACCTGAACCTCTTTCGGACAATTCACCAATTCACAATCGCCCAAGTGTGCAAGGCCTTCGAGTCAATCCCCAGACCCTTTACAACAGTGGCGTTGTCAGACAAACTCTGAAGGCCAGAACACATTCTATATAAGAAAACCAGAAACAACAAACTCGCCAAAAACTTCACATATCCGAAGAGTCACCAACGAATTGGCAAACTTCACCTATTGTATCCACCCGCAAACGCACCCACAACTACAACTGCGTTGACTTCAAGTGTAGCAACGTCTTCACAACAGTTGGCCGAACAGCACAAAAGGAAAGCCAGCAATGAGACAGCAGGCACCAACGCCTCACAAAGAACGTCGGGAAACTACAGCCACAATGACGACCATGTTGACGCAATGAGCATGGACGACGACAACACCGACGTACAAACAAAGCTGGAATGCCCGCTAATGTTCCAGATGTACCACGCGTGAATATTACTATGTTACTATGTTGGGTGCCTGCTGGTTTTTTCGGGCAGAAACAACCGCAAAAGCAAGAACAAAAGCCGAAGGACTACCAGCGGTCAGCCACGACGACTACTTGCGACTGCATCAGCCAAGGCATTAACGACAACAGCCAGAATCACAACAACAGCATCAGCCGCAACAAGTGAATTGCACAGACCGGAGATCCGCTTGCAAGACTTGGCTCATCAAGCCATTTCCACGTTCTATTTGCTCAGTTTTTGACTTTTTAGCCCGCTCCTCTCCCTAAGAGCGATGGCCTCCAACCTAAGAAGCTCCTTGAGTCTCCAAGATAGTTTTTTGACTGATGTTTTAGACGGGAGAGGCAGATGAAGACACACCCCACTCGTTCGGCCCGTGGAGCCGAAAGTAACAATGTTTGCTATTAGTAACAGGTGCCTTACTAGTAGTAACAAGAAGCTATTAACTTAATTTTAAGTTAATTCAAAAAGTTTTTTGTTACTACCAGTAAGGCACTTGTTACTACTAGCGAGGCACTTGTTACTAATGAAGACAAACCCCACTCGTTCGGCCCGTGGAGCCGAAATAAGAGCGCCGATGATGCTCCTTCCTAATAGCGTCCTTGCAGGCCAGGAGCCCCGATCGTAGCAATGCCCTGAGGGAGGTCTAACTTAAAACAACATGAAACAAGAGGAAGGTTTAAGCGTGGCGTGGGAACGTGGAAGCGACACCTCGCCTGACGGCAGGTGTATTTGATGTAGGCAGAGCCAGGCAGGCTCATGGAGAGAATGTTTGCGAATCCCCGTGCGACATCCTGTTTGCTATATTTTCTGAGAGAACCAATAGATACTAGTAGCAAGAAGCTACTGTACTAGGTTGGAGGCCATCGCTCTTAGGGTGGAGGCCATTATTAGCAAAGATGCCACTAGGCGCTCCTGGCATCGCTACTAGGAAGAAGCTACTAGGGGCTCCTGGCCTTACCATTAGGAGCAAGAAGCTATTAGTAACGAAGGGCATCGCTACTAGTAGCAAGTGCATCGCTAGTAGTAACAAGTGCCTTACTAGTAGTAACAAGAAGCTACTAGGGGCTCCTGGCCTTACTGCTAGTAGCAAGGACTCTTGCGAACTCCCTTGACACTGTTGGGCCCGCGGAGCTCGTTGAGCCACGCGGAAGCGACGCCTCGCCTGGACTTGATACGAAAGGTCAACACTGGGCATCCCAAATGTTGCCAAATGTTGTCAAACACTGACCATCTTTCTTTTTTTTAAAAATTTGATTAGTGATGACCAAACTGCCATACATGCCACCAAAGTGCTGTGAAAACGAACATGTTCCCGAACTGAGCCTGCCACTATTAAAAGCACTATTACTACTATCAATATTAGTAAAACCAGTTCGTTTGTTTGTGTTTTGGTTTCCTGAAGTGGATGGCAAGCAGTGAGGCATTGGAGCTATCCTCGGGATTGGCACCGGGTGGCGTCCTTAACGGGCTCGCACCGGGATGTGTGCTCTCAGAGCAACAGCAAAGAGAGAAAGAAACGGCACAAACATATTTTGTCGACATTTGGGAAGGCAAAGCAGAAGCGAATAAGCGATGCTGAGAAGTTTTGGACGCTCAGAAGCCAGCGTGTTTGCGATATGCAAGCTTGATCTTAAGGCAGTCTTTCGCCAAAGGCTTTGGACTGCTTATTTTTCGAATTATCTTGAGCCCCGCCGATCAAAGTAGGCTCGTTTCGCAATTGCTCCCACTGGGCTCATTAATTTTGGGGGCTGAGCGGTCAAGAAGGTTTTGGTTCCTTGCTTGGGCCGTGGAAACAAAGGGCCAAGACCTAAAGCCCAAAGGCTTTTCAAACCATGTTCTTAAAAAAGACGATACCAAAAGAAGAAAGAAGGAATTAACCTACTAGCGGCTAGCGATGGCCTCCAACCTACTAGCGATGGCCTCCAATCTAAGATCGATGGCCTCCAACCCACCAAGTTTCTAGCGATGGCCTCAAGCCTAGAAGCGATTGCCTCCTATCTTCAAACAGTAATAGACCAAAATGTTCAACATCGACGCTGTTGTTCATGGAGTCCTGTTGCTTGTTCTATGGTGCGTTCCTGGTGCACCACGATCCCAAGCATCTTTCGAGATACACACGCTCACTTTTTTTGATCGCCACCTTGGCCAGCATGTTTGTGCAAGCTTGGATAGTAACAAGTGCCACGCTACTAGTAACAAGTGCCTTACTAGTAGTAGCAAGAAGCTTCTAGGAAGAACGCAGAGTCCGGAGCCTTCAAGAAACACTAAAAGACGCCTAGACTTGCCTGTCATGCTGTCCACCCAAAAATGCCGCATTGGCATCAAAGCTGTCGAATTTGAGACACACTTTGCGAAGCGCTTCAGCGCTTGGTTTTCCATGACGATGTGCCGTGCAGGGTTTTGCAGCCGTGCGTGGTCCTCTGCCAAGTTTTTGGCAGCATCTCCTGACGGATTCGCTGTCAGGTTTTCCTTTGGCAATTTTCACTGCCGTCTCTGAAGCCGCAAAGTGTGGTCTACAAATGTCCAGAAGTCTAGAAGGTACACGGAAAGGAACAGATGAGAACAAAAAACTAACGAGAAGAAAGAACAAACAAACAGGCGAAACGACAAGCACAAAAAGTTCTTCCAATTTGTGGGAATGAAAGGCAACAGTATGCCTCAACAGGCGCAATTAGGAGCAAAGGTAGTATGTTGAAAGGGTCGATATGTACGTAGCAAGGTGACAGCTCAGAAAGAAGAAAGAGTCTCAATGGTGGGTATCGGGATTCATATGGATTCATAGAATAACGACACCACTGATTTTCGGCAGTGCTGAATACCTCAACGAAATCTAGAGCAATCCATGGCGTCCATGGGCAATTCGTTAACAGATATGCGACTTGGATGATGCAGAATTTGGCCAAGACAGCTTCAAACTTTGTTCTCGGTACAGGGCTTAAAGAGTTTCCAAACTCTTCCATGAATTGCCTATTGTTTTTCACATGTTGTGACGCTAGAAAATCTATAAAGTAGCCAGTCATCCAACCTGCAGATCTGCAGCCAATCTACTTTGCAAGTGAATCTGGAGCCCAGTTTAGATGGTTTGTGATTAAGCTTTATGCTAAAATTAACATTTTTTTTTCGAAAACATGTTTGCCTTTTGTTATTGCACTTTGAACTTGGGGCGGAATTGGTCAGAGAATGGAGGCCGAAGTGGCCCTCCGGACTCTTAGAAAACGCGATGGCGTTTTCCGTTTTGAGAATTTGTTGCCCGTTAGTCCCCGCAGGGGTCCTCAAGCTGAGAGGCTTGTAACTTTGGTTTTCATGCTCAACTTGTGATCCACCTGCACATTCAGAAGAACCATTTGTTATTTCAGATTTCTGAGCATTTCGCCATGCTCGGACCCCTGTTTGAGTTCCCGGTCTCCCGGATGCGAGACAACTGTACTTCCTCTGCTGCAGGGCTGAAAGTACATCTTAATTGCATGATGAATTGTCGCTTTCCCTGAATCAAGATTTTGATATCACACCCAGCCATTGCGACAGATGCAGTACTGGCACTACCCTCGATCTTTGGAGAAGGGCGCGCCTCGTAAAACATCGTGGAGATAGACAGGAAGAGCCTCAGGAGGGACCTCCAACCTAATAGCGATGGCCTCTAACCTAATAGCGGGTGTCAGCGAGAGTGAGAAACACTTCCAAGGGAACGAGTTCTTATAGGTGGCAAGGAGGCATTCGGACGAGTTCGTGCGTGCTAGGCTTGCGTACAGGGAGTCCAGGGCAAAAACCCTATTTCAACAGTTCAACAGCATTGTGTCATGCTGTGTCGAGGTTGTTAGCTTTGAATTGCGAACACGTGCAGCCTGATCACCAGGTTGCTGGAGTGCGCTCCGGAAGTGGGTTGCCTGAAAAATGGCCAGCCAGTCTGAGCCTCACGCTTCCGCATGGGGGTTCGAAACGCCACCATGACACCTCAAGTAGAGTATGTCAGGTCAGAAGGAGGCCCTGATCCGAAAGTTGCTGTCCAAATCCGAGCTATCCTTCAGACTCATGAGAGGGAGGGCTTTTCCGTTGCGGACTTTCTTTTTTTGGTGAAGTGTTTGGTGTCAGAACTTCTGGACTTTGCAGCTTTTGTGCCAAACCATTGCGCAAACGGGTTCGAGGAGACGGATCTAATCTAATCGCAAACCAGCACCAGGGCAACATTGACAGATATCATGGTGATTGAGCTAGTTCACTGGCAAAAAGACCTGTGAAATAGAATGGAGCAATGGGAGGTGCCGCGTCAATATGGGAGCGGAATAGGCCTGCCTGGAAGTACCGTCGTGTTCCATTACCTGAAGGCAGTTGTGTGATAGCCACATCGGATTTTGACCCTGAGAGTATCCAGTGGCCAAAGGCATGGGGTGCCCCGCTCCTGTTGAAGAAGAGCATTGCCATCCAGGTCATCAGTGATGATGGAGGTGACCGCGCCTTTGGACACTACGTTGGTCAACCTGAGAAGTGTGGCTATTTCCTGAAGCATCTGACGAAGGCGTATGAGATTGGCCAGGCTGGAGATTCGGAAAGGACAACGCATCGAGCCTTTCCAACAGGTCCAATCGTCACAGACAGCCAACTTACAGCAAGCCAAGTTCCCAAGAATTTACCGGGAGCCAAGCTAGCTTTTCTTGGGCGCGATGCCAACCCAACTGGCCCACATAGCGAAGCCACCACTACAGCATGTACGCCATGCTCTCCAGCATCCACTGTCAGTCTTTTCAGCTCTCCGACTGGAAATCGAAGCCGACCAAGCCCTTTGCCTGATCCACCGAGGCTTAGAACGCCAGAAGTTCCCATCTCTCAGATCTCAGAGCGTTCAGATGCGGATTGGGCGCTCTCACGACCTCAGGAGGGTCATAGCGGCAGTCGCTGCAGAGCCACAAGGGCAGCTTCACCAGGATTGAAGATTGGCCTCGAAGGTTTTAAACCATCTCAAGACAGGCTGGGAGGTGCTCCTAGGACCCAAGGGGGACATACCGCCTCTGAACGTGTCAGTCGGGAGAAAGCAATCAGCACGGGGCAAACGCGACATGAACAAAAGCGCTGTCCTGAAACGCAACTCTGGGAGAACTCGGAGAACGACTTTCCCAAAGATGAGAACTTGGCTTGGCTTGCTGAAGCAGCTTTGAGAGTAGAACTGCCAGAGGGATGGATAACTTTTGATGATGATGATGGCCAGCCCGTTTACTACCATGAGGGGAGGCGTGTAGTTACAAGGAAGCATCCGATGCTGGCAAGGTTCAAGGCTTACGCACAACGTTTGCAAAAGTTTTATGAGTCTCTCTCGACCAAGGAGGCTCTCAAAAATGCATCCAAGATCCGGGCACACCTGGGAGTGGTGCTCAATGAAGTCTTAAACCGATGCCACAGAGAGCTTCCACCCATGACCCCAGAGCTCCTGGAGCCACGTGTTGCACATGTGAACATGTTTGTTTGAAACATCAGTATAGCGTCGTTGCTCCTAGTAGCGATGCCCTTTGTTCCTAGTAGCGTCCTTGCTCCTAGTAGTAAGGCCAGGAGCCCCTAGTAGCGTCCTTGCTCCTAGTAGAAGTCTTAAGACAGTTTGACATCTTAGGGTGCATTTCTGTCCCTCAGGAGCGGGCAGCTCTTCTTTTAGCAATTGACACCGCAAGTGACTTTGCTCTATCAGCAAAAGTGCCTTGGCTTTAGAGTTTCACTGAATTCATACCTCCACTTGCTTCTCACTCCGCTGATTCTCCTCGAAGCGCATGAAATCACCAAAGCTAGCATTAGCCAGCTAAGTTTGTGTTTGCTTAAGCAAGGGAGGGAGGCCTGTGGCCAACAGAGTGTTCTTTCATTACCACACCCCCATGAGAGCAGAAAAGCCAAGGTGAAGATTGCAATCGAGAGCTTTGCCGAAGATCAGTATGATATTTCTGTTTCTACCGGGCAAAAGGCAGACCTTGATGGCTTCATCAAGCAGCTGAGATCTGAACAGATACAACTGGAAGTATTAAGCAAACAAGATAGCATCATCATGTGCTCAGAATTTAACGATCTCCCAGCAGCAGTGAAGTGCGAGGACCGCCCATCTGAATTTTCAAACACCGACATCGGAGCAAGTAACACGGATGAGACCGGGCTAGCAACACTTCGGGCTGTGTTTGACAGGTGAGGTGAATCAAGAAACAAAGGTCTAAAGAAAGAAAGAACAACAGGAAGAAAGGTCCACTGTAGTTTGCTAATAGGTTGGAGGCCATCGCTATTAGAAACAAAGAAGAAAGAACACCAAACAAGAAAGGTCTAAAAGAAGAACTTTTTTCCTAAACAAGACATCCTTTGACAGGAGTGTATGGATTTCTTTTCCCTCGAGGGCTTCCAGAAGTGCCACGCATCCGGCACACGCCGAAAACACCACCCACTCAAGGTGGCACAGTGCCCTGGAAAGATATGCTTTGCTTGGTGCTTTGCCTCATAGTGAGTCTTGAAGACTTTGGAAGAATTGAAACATTTACAGTTCTACTGGCACTCTTTGATTTTAAGATGTGTTAAAGTTGGAAATGTTCAGTTTCAACCAACTCAGGTGTGCGTGTTCGGTTTTTCCCTGGGAGCCCGCGACTTGCGAGGCCGCTTTCCACAATGCAAACAGAATGCCACTTTCTTGTTTCGTTTCGCATTTTTGCCCTTTAGACCGTTAATAAACCTTTCCCTTCTGTCCTTCTTCCTTCTTTCCTCCGGGTAGCAAAGAATACAGGGTAACCTGCGGCAGGGCGACCAGGGACAGTCTTTTTGATGAGAATGATGGCAGAGACGATTGCCATTATTGTTTGTTGCCCGTTTTATTTTTGCTGCTTTGAAGCTGTTCTGCATTTGTAGCACTTTGCGTCGGGGTGGTGTTGCGTATGAGGTTTTTGATGTACTGACATGTTATTAAGTGATGCGGTTTGATGGTTTCTGTTGTAGTGACGTGACGGGTGATGGTTTGTGATGCACTGAAGATGGTGAAGAATAGTGTGATGACTGGCCTTTGATGTGGTGGTGATGTGTGCTGCGGTGTAGTGTAAGGTGTCGGTTTGTGATGTGGTGTGATTCTTCCCACCGCGATATCCGATGACACTACATCCTAGCACAATAGGTGGAAGCTCTTCATGCATGTGCTGTAAGTATCAACTCAACCTTCGACTCTGATGGAAGAGTGAGAGTAAATCGCAAACCAGCCCTCGGCAAAGAGAAGTGTGTCATTGCCCGCATCATTGAGCCAGTCCCCTGAGCAAACATACTCTTTACTTTCGGGCCCCGGATGTTCTTGAACCGACAAAAAGTCGTTGCCGTGCTGGGATGCCTTGCCATTGTTGATTCAGGACATGTTTTAATATGTTTCAATATTGTTCTGAGCATACCATTTGAGATGCCTCCATGTCCAAATTAACAATTCCAGATCGGCTAACTGCAGACGAATCACTTTCAGCGAATGCGAAAGAAAAGAGCACACCATCAAAGCAGCAAGCAGGTGTGGATGCAAGAGCACATGACAACAAGAAATACCGAGACTTTGATTCCCATGGCAGTCAGGGCGGCCCGCAACCTTTCTTATGGCATTCTTCCGCCGACAGGGAAGCCAAGTGGTTTGCCACCCATCAAACAATGCGTCGAGTGAACACATCGCCAGCGCACCAACCGTGCTGCAACTTTCACATCGACCCTGAACAGCTTCATAGAAACCTTCACAACTATCACATCGCTAGTAGTAACAAGTGCATCGCCAGTAGTAACAAGTGCCTTACTAGTAGTAACAAGAAGCTAGTAATGCATCTATCCTCTCAAACCTTCACGGCCGGAACTTCGATCACTTCATATTCCGCATGAAATGCATCCAATGTCTCGTTCTGGAGGTGGCTGTCCTCCGTCTCAAAGACTTGAAGCGAACCACCCAACAAAGTCAACAGAATGCCTTTAGTACGTTTCCTACTACGTTTCCTATGGAAAAGGTATCAGCCGAAACATTCAAGCGGAATCCTGGGAGGCTTCGCGGGCTTTGCATTGCTTTGCGGAGGAATATTGCATGAATGCTATGTTATATTGTTGTTTCTTTGGTGTTGCACAACAGATATTGCCGATGCGGAGCCAAAATCAGATAAATCATATACGCGCCACTGGCTCATCAGACTCATCGCATTTCTGCGTTCTGGAAAGCCAGTTGCAATCTGACATTGGTAAGTATAGTCCAGTATAGTCTGTCCGAGTCTGACCTTCTTCACGAATGAGTCTCGCGTGATCTGCCACCAGAAAAGGTCACTGAGACTGGTCTGCTACTGTCATGTTGCTACACTGAAAGCTTAGCAACCCACAAAATGACACATTTGAAAGAAACCAACGGGCAAGCGGGCAAACCCACTTGTTGTGGAAACGGTCAACAGAGCACGCATGTTGCAAGAGAACCGGATTCCACTTCATGCTTTTTGCAAATGCGCAGCTGGCTTGCTCATATGTCGGCGCGTCGTCCACCCCCCAACGACAATGCGAAGAAAGTAGCCGTGCGCACAAAAAGCATCCAATTAAACTCACCAATCACCAAACAGAAAGACAACACACAGAGTACGAAATGTGGTTTGCCACTTGAAGAGGCCTAGGTAACCAGGAAACCTAAGAGTTCAGGTAATTACATGTGCATTTGCATGTAACTTACATTGTACCTGACGAGACCTTAGGGAAAACATTGCCCGAGTAGAACGGGTAGTGTGCAGTGGGCTTCAACCATTCCAAAAGCCTCAAAGGTCGAAGTTCAACGGGTTAAACGCTCAAACAACTAGACGCGGAAAGTCTTGTTACTACTAGTAAGGCACTTGTTACTACTAGCGAGGCACTTGTTTCTAATAGCGTCCGATCGCTCCGTTCGTAGCGATGCCCTTTGTTACGTTCGTAGCGAACCTTGCTCCGTTCGTAGTAAGGCCAGGAGCCCCGTTCGTAGCGTCCTTGCTCCTAGTCAAAAGCTCAAGTTCAAATTAGTCTAAAGATCAAGCGCAAAGAACGATGCTGGACTGAAACAAGAGGTTTGCCCCTTTGCCTCATACAGCAAGAACAACAGGCAACCAGTTGAGCAGGTACCTTGACACGGGTTCCAGAGCAGGTCTTCGTTGGCCACCGCTCCTCTGGGACCCTGGTGGCCAAGCAATAAAATGAATTCTCGAATCAGAAATCCATTTTTTTGGAATATTAAAAATACGACTACGACAAGTTTTGCGGAGATAAAACTACTATGCTAGCTGCAGATGTGGTGCGACTGTCAAATGCCACTAGTGCAAGGTACTTACCGGTTTTTGTGTCCAAAGCATACTCGAAAAACAACTGCTGTAAACCTATCTCATGTGTCCTGGCACTGCCAGAATGCTAGATTCCTTGGCATGTCCGGAACTGCTGTGAGACTTTCAATTTTGGGAACTGTGCCACAGTCAAGACAATATGAGATGGGATGCGACAGTCGGCCAAAAGAATGTACAGTAGAATTGAAGTAGAATTAAAGAGCGGCTAAGCTGCTTAGCTAGTTTGTCAACAAGGGTTGAATAAACGGCCATACGACAACTGTTCATTCCGAACGTTCTTTTGCACATTGTTCGGCCCTGACAACTGCATTCCTCTTTGTTTAAGAGCCAGATGATTTGGACACCAGTGGTACCAGGTCAGAATGCACACATGAGATAGGATGCAAAAACACATTAGGACACTGCTGACCCCAAAACAATCTCATTTGACATCTCCCTCTTTTTAGCTAGGACATTCCTATCTCATCTTACCCATGCCGAAATTTAGGATGGCAAGGGCAGGGAAATATGTGCGCTCTTAGCCATCTACTGCTCTTGAGTCCCTTTTGGAGCACTGCGATTCAAATTTGGGAACAAGATGTTTGTCTGCATCATGGAGGAACTTCCCCAAGATTTGCGGGCACTTGTCGTGGGGCACATGCCACGATCACTGTCGCTCTAGGGTCTGCTTCTTTCGAGCCACATAGGTTCCCAGATTGACCGACATGCCAGGCGCAAGCCAGAGGTCACAACTCTCTTCACTTGGTGAAGGGTGAAAGGGTGCCCCACAAGAGCTTTTCACAAGAGTGTCCTAGAAGAGTGTCGTGCAAGAACGTCCCACAGCAGCATCCCAGAAGATTTCCAGTGTGTCCAACAAGAGGGTCGCACAGCCTGGGTGAGAGGGTAGCAAGTGGCATGCGGTGCATTGTAATGCTGTGAGGTGTCAGGTGTCTGTGTTTTTCAATGTGCACTTTTTGGCGATTGGGTGATGTGTGGGTCGATGGCGCAGGCTATGCCGCCGTTGTGATTCCTGATCATTGTTGATGTTTTACCGTGTAACGTGGTAAAGTTTTCATGTGGTGGTTTGAAATGAGAACGTGTGGTGGTTGATGATGTAATATGGGTAGTGCTTTGCTTTTCTTTAGAATCATTGCTTTTGAATACTTGTCTCTGGACATGTTTGCTTTCATTCTTACCCCTGACATCATGTAGCGAGTTATGAATCCTTGCCCATGATCACACACGCGCCCACTGCAACTCTTCGTATTGTAGGAATTTTATATACAGCTTTATATACTGTTAAAATTTGTATTTGTTTTCAATCTCTTTAATGATTCGACATGGGTTTCTAGCATTTCTTTTGAAACAGGATGATTCGGGTTTCCACAAAGGCATTGGCACCAGCCACAGAGTGTTTGCGTGGAGCCAACGCAGCAGTGTGAGGTAGATGGCCAGTACTACAGTGATCGTGGCTATGAGAAGGCTGCCCAGCACCAGCCACAGCTGCAACTAAAACCTTGCCAACTGCTGGGCGGCATCAAATGTTCCGAATACCCGGTGCCTTGACACTACTCTGGGACTGCGTTTGCAGCTGCGTTTGGTCGCTGGCTTGTTGGCAGTTAAGGACAGGCCTGCAGAGGTCTTATGTGAAGATTGCTGCGCTTTGACTGCATCGAGATTTAGTCTTGTGACAGCGGCGACAGCGCGTGAGTGGGAGTTTTTTTTGGTATGTCTTTTGTAGTCATTTGGTCAGCCCATCGCTGTTCAGCAGACCTTTACAAAGCCTTCAGTTCGGCAAGGCAGTGAGTTCGTTTCTTTTTTCCACCGGAATTTTGTTGAGTTCCACTACTAGAAGGAACATACACAATGGTCGTTGGAAGTGGAACAACTCAATGCATGGCCGCCCAGCACTGCATCGAAGGTGATTTCTTTTGTATCGAAGCCTTCCTCGAGCGCCATGGCCATGGACATCGGCAACAGCACACCCAGCTTCAACTCCACGGCTCTGCTGTCTATCGCTTTGGCCAACCTCTTCCAGCGGAGGAGGTGCCCATGGAGAGAGGGAGAAGAGAATCAATAAATGAGTAAATGAGTCATCATATACCAGTAGCTTCTTGTTACTAGTAGTATGGCCAGGAGCCCCTAGTAGCCTCCTTGCTCCTAGTAGTAAGGCCAGGAGCCCCTAGTAGCTTCCCTTTTATTTTTGTAGGTGCCCACTTACTTAAGTAGGGACGGGCCAGCGGGCGACGATTGGCGATCGACCGATTTGCCAGGCCAGCCGTTTACTGCGCCGTGCCAAGCTCGCCCGTGAGGGCGGCCCGTGGTTGGCATTCCGTGATGATCACTTGACGACGTACTGGTACCATTTGCGCGACAAAGTCGTGACATTTGAGAACCCGTACTTGGGAAATCCGCTGTGCCAGTGACAAGCTGCGGGGGGTCAAAAATGTTTGGCATGGATGTGCTCAGAAGGTGCGCAACATTTGGCGCACAAAAAACAAACATATTAGAAAAAGCAAGCCTGAGGATCAATGGAATGCAGATCGGCAGCTTCCAGGCGCCCCAACAGTCGTGACAGAAAACAGTGCATGCATGTGCATGCGAGACCCGCGCAGGAGAAAGGAGTGGGCAAAGCACAGATGGAGGATGGACCTGGTGATAACTTGTTACTACTAGCTTCTTGTTACTACTAGTAAGGCACTTGTTACTAGAAGCTTCTTG